GGCCCTGGGGGGAGGGGTGGGACTTCCTGAGCGCGGGACACGCCGGGAAGGGGCGCACCGGGCGGAAGCTCCGGGCTGCTCATGTGGCAGGAGGTTTTTCTGGGCCCGCGGCTCCGGGACCGTGGTGCTCCTGGGCTTCTGCCGGCCTTAGGTGGGACGTGAAAGCAAGGGTAGCCCCGGGCTGGCACGTGCTTAGACGCTGCCTGGGATCCCACGCTGTCCCGCAAGCCTCCTGAATCGTGGCTCGGACCTCGGTCTCGTCTTTCCTCTTACCGGGCGAGGGAGTTAACGCGGGCCCCTCGGTTCTCCTCGAGGAAAACAATTTCAGTTCCGAGACGGTTTTAGCAATGTGTTTAGACAACAGCTCCCGGAGATGTGGGGTGGCAGCTCAGTGGGGTCTGTGTTGTGAGCTTTGATTAAGTTTGCATTAATGTATATGATGTGGAAAGGATTCATGGGATTAGGTGTCCCAAATCACGGGCGGGAGCTCTTAGGACTTTTTCCTCAGGATCTCTTAGAAAAGTCTATTGGGTGGGCGGGACGAGATGATGGTTCCCTGCTTATCAATTCCTGGGATTCGCGTGGTAGAAGGTACCCCACTGAACTCAGTGCTGTGTGCGGTACGCCTTCCACCCAATAAAGAAATAAAATATTAAAACATAATGCAAATATTATAATGAGGTGGGGGCGTCTTTTGAAGTGTGAGGTGATACCCGAGTGCGGGAACAGCCTACCTACAGCCTGAAGGATATTTAACCACAAAGGGACGTAGTTTTCTTGGTTACCTCATAGCTAACTTTTTTTTTTTCAAGCTGCCAACGGTCCTATGACTGTCAGCTAAGAAAATTTGTTATTTCTAAAACTGAGTTTTTTGCCCACTCTAAAATGGGAATTAAAAATAGTACCAGTTTCTTGGGACTGTTTTGAGGAAGGAAAGAGTTGATAACTATGAAGCATTAGTAACACTGCCTAGTATGGCAGTCAAATGATAGTAGTTGTCACTAATATTAAATAAACACATTTGTTCATAATTGTTAAATACAACCTATGACATCACTTCACCTCTCTTCCCATCTATATTTCCCATGCACTTTAGATTTCTAATTCTCTCTCTAGTCACATTTAAAAAAACAGTACTATGGGAAATTCATCAACTGGTCATCACCCAGGAAACTAATTTAAATTTTCCACATAGTTGGTTGGAGGGGGGCAGAGAACATTATTCCATTTAAGAATATTTGTGTTTCCTTTTTGAGCCACCAGGCGGCCCATTATACCTGCTTCACAGCAGCTCATGTTAAGATTAGGAAAAATCTGTAAGATTAGGAAAAATCCCCCCCCCCCAGTACATACTACAACTTCCAGTGGCCCTGGTGGTTTCTGAATGTAAAAGAGCCCAAACCCTATTGATATCCATGGGGGGATTTTGATTCCAGGAATGCTTCTATTAAAAAATGGGCATGTGCTCGTCTTTTATTACATGTTAGATAGATAGTTTTTACAGTGTGGCCAATACTCATCTTTCTATATACATTAACCCTATCTCTAGGTTGCTTATGATACTGAATACAATGTGACTGCTATTGACATACAGTAGAGATGGAATTTGTGGGGACTGTATTCAGTGTGAGGTTGGTTGAATGCAAAGATGGCACTTACCGATAGAGGGCTGAGTATATTATATATTTTTATCAAAAAGTGGTATCCAAAGTAGAGTTCCTTTTACTTTGCAGGCTGTGACTTTATTCCCTCTGTCTTGCTTACCTGCAGAGGGTTTCATTGACAGATGCAACATGTGCCCAGCTTTTGTATTTTTGGGGTATAAGTGATCATCCCCAGATGATGACTGTAGAGTAGTCACAGTACTCATGTCAAGGTAAAAGTGATGTAAAGACATCTACACAGCCAGGGTTGTTGGTGGCACATACCTTTGATCCCAGCACTCGGGAGGCAGAGACAGGCGGATCTCTGTGAGTTTGATGCCAGCCTGGTCTACTGAGTGAGTTCCAGGACAGCCACCAAAGCTACAGAGAAACCCTGTCTTGAAAAACAAAGCAAGCAAACAAAAAAAGACAATACACATTCATGTTCAACAAATGTTCTCTTATAGATCACCTGATATCATTTTCCAATTTCTTAATACTCAGAATCCTTTCTTATATTTTTCTTTAAGGCAAATAAGTCAGAATGTTCCTTTCAGAGTATTTCTCATCTGATGCAGTAAATGTAGACATGCATACTGAATCTTGTTTTAACTATTTCTGCTTTAGATATTTGCATTGCGGCTGTCATTAAAGGATGCCACCTTGTCACACAGTCAATCAAGAGCAAAACCTTAGATGCAGAAGTGGATGTATTATGCTCCGTTCTCTACAGCAATCACAACAGAATGGGCCGCCACAAGCCCCATTTAGCTCTCCGGCAGGTGAGGGGAAGCTCCGTTCCACATGCAGCCCAGTACTGACGAACATGAGGATCACACTGCCACTTACTATTTTGTTATTTATGGAAAGTTCATAAATTATTTTGATTCATAAGTCTACAAGACACAATTATGTGTTGGATATTTTGGCCTTTTATTTTCCCAAAATATTTTCAAAAAGTAATTTATGATCAAGAAATATATTTCAAAGCTGGTGCACACCTTTAATCCCAGCACTTGGGAGACAGAGACTGATTAATCTCTGTTGGTTTAAGGCCTGCCTGGTTTGTATAGTGAGTTTCAGGACAACCGAGTCTATGTAGAAAGACCCTGTCTAAAAGAAACAAAACAAAACAACAACAATAAAAAAATCTCAAAAAAGAAGTATATTTCAATTCTTTCCAGTTTAATTTTTACTATTGCAGTCTTTAACAGTGCCTTTGCCTAGTATAAAAGTAAACTAATTTAAACCCTAAAATCTTAAAAATGAAAACAGTTGTGGCTTAGTGTTGTGGTTGACTTCTTGTGGGGTCATAATGTCGTCAGCAGTGTGTTGCTGTGAGTGGTTTATGGTACGCAGTGGTGTGAAGTGCTTTCATGTAAGTTTTGGAGACTGAGAAAGTATTGTGGCCTTTAGCTCCATGACTCATGGTAGAGAGCTGCTGGAGGTGGGTTCTCTATGTGCCATTCACACACTCTTTGCCAGTCCTGCAAGTACCCTTTCAAAGCTCAGTGTGCTGCCCACTCGTGTGAGAGCCATCTTTCTAGTACTTACGTGTTTTTCACAAAGTTCTCTGTTGACATCATACTTGGTGTTGGATATGCAGCAATAAAAAGACATAGTCTCTTCTGTACAGACTCTTTCTCTCTGGTTAGCTATACTCCCATTGCTTAAGGCCCAAGGGATGAGGATGCTGTCCTCAAAGAGGATCACTGTCTTTCCCTAAGTTGTCTTCTCTGGGGCTGCTTTAACCCAGGTCTTCTAAACCAAGAGCAAACTTGTTCACTACCTTCTTGCTGAAGTTCTTAACTGCCTTTTCCCTTCCCTTCCTCTCTTACCCTCCTCCAAACCGTATTTCACTCATTGTAATTTCCTATCTTAAAAGATGGTGTCTAGACTTAGAAATTACAAAAGATAGGAGCCAGCCCCAGAGAATGTCAGGGTTGAACTATGTTGAAGTAGAGTCCGTAACAATGATTTGGATTTTAGTAGTATATGTAGCTCTGGCAAGGTTGGGACTCATCAATAGCAGTTCCCATCAGGAGCCTTACATCCTCCAAAGTGCAGGTGCAGTCCAGGGAGGGCCCTTGGTAGGCATTCCTGAGAGGGCGTTTATACAGCATTCTGTATGCTGTATAAACAAGCAGCATGGCTTGTTTTCTCCTGAGAAAAAAACACTAAGCCCTGTTCTAAGAGCTGGATTACACTGGTGAACAAAATGGATGAGTATATTGTCCACAGGGAGCTTACAAGGGCAGGCAGACAGCCAGTCAGCCAGTAACTGGCTATGCCAGCTGGTAAGAGTGCTGCAGGGAAAAGCAGAGCAGGGGAGATTGCGATTTTAAATCAAGCATACCTGTTGTAGCTTTAAGATAGTACTTTGTGTGTTATCTGTCCTTACTACTTGAAATTGGGATGTATCATATACCACGCTGTCTCCCAACATGCCTTGCATGCAGTTAGGTGCTCAGGATAGATTTGTTCTAGGACTAAGTCACTTTCTTCATTTCTGGTGTTTACAGACTATTGAAACTGAGTAAAGAATTGGCTATCTTTTTTTACTAGGTTCACTGCTATAAGTATGTTCCCTCAACAGATTATAATATTAAGACATACTCATTTTGATCCCTTCATAGCATCGAGTACTTGGCACATAGTAATTTCTTGAATTGAGAGATTTGTTGGGTTGGTTTAATTTCATATTTGTAAGCAGAAGCAATTGCTTTGGGATTTGGGTTTCCTTGTCCTTAAATGAGAAGGTCTTATGCGGCACATTTCCATACTGTGAATGTTTGCTTTCTTTGCATTCTTCTTGGTCATATCTGTGACACTGCTGTATTACACGCATACTAATTTAAATGGATCTTCCTCCTTCTGTTTGCTTTCTTCGCATTCTTGGTCATATCTGTGACACTGTTGTATTACACACATTCTAATTTGAGCCCATCTTCCTCCTTCAGGTAGAACAGTGTTTAAAGCGTTTGAAAAACATGAATTTGGAGGGCTCAGTTGAAGACCTGTCTCAGTTGTTGTCTGCCAAGTAGGTGGCCCATTGCTTTGTCAGGATGTCTTTGCTATTCTCTGCTTGGTGTTGAGCTATAACCAACTATGCCAAGATCTATACATTATGTTTTAATAAGGGGCACCTGTTGATTGATGGGAGGGACTGGTGGGACATGGAAATGTGGCTCACAGTAGGTTACAGTGAAAGAACAGTTGGTTGCTGGTAGGCATAACCACCTCAGGCTGAGCCTAAAGCAAGCCTTCACTTGGATAGTGCTGTAGAAATGTGTTTAAAAATGAAAGTCATGTCCTTTTCTGTTTATGTCAAGTGAAACCCAGCCAGGAGCTACTGAAAACCGTGTTGTCCCCAGCCAGCCGGTGGTGGAGGTGGTGCTGATGAAGGTTTTGGGAGGCTGCAAGTTGTTACTGCGCTTGTTGGACTGCTGCTGCAAGGCATTTCGGTATCCTTGATTATGGGAACACCTTCTTTGGAATGGGCCTGTTTGGGTATCTTTATAGCCTCTGTTTAAAAGCTGTGCTATAAGGTGGGGTAACCTGTGGGAATTCTTAAAGCGTTGCCTTTTGGCTCCTCTTCTAGCAACTGCTAGAAGAGTTGGCCCGTGCTAGAAGGGTATAGCCCGTGCCTAGCATGAGCCTACCTAGCATGTATTCTAAGAGTTTAACCATTAGAAATTCTTACTCCCACATACTAACTGTAGTAATAGGAGCTCTAGTAGAATAGACATTTCTCTGTTTTTAGTGTACTGTGTTGTTATTGTCATGCTAGGACTTTAATACCTTCAACGTCTTCTTTACGTCCAATTTATTTCTTTCGTCATTTTAACTAACAAATCTTCCTTTGGTTTTATTTTTCCAACCTAAACTGATTCTTCAGGTTGACCGTGAAGCACTTAGGACTGCAAGAATTCATTATTTTGAACCTTGTGATGATTGGGCTGGTGAGCAGGTTATGGTATGTTTTCCTTTCTACAGTTATGTTTCATTTCTTTTTCATATTTGCTCAGTTTCGTTTCACACCGTTGGCCCTAGGATCTGAAGACATGCTCTTTTCTGTCTTCCTATGACAGTTTATTTGCAGATTGTAAGCTGACCTGTTTCTTATTAGTGTTCTCACAATTTCATTTCACACTATTGGCCCCGGGATCTGAAGGTGTGGGTTGCCTATCTTCTTATGACAGTTTAAAGATTGCAAACTGAGGGCTGGTGGTTATGCCAGAGGAATGGGCTTTGCTTCTGAAACTTACAACTAGCCTGATACTGAGTAACTCAGAAAGTGAATCCCTAGGACCTAGGATTATAATAATAGTAATAGTGATAATAATAATGATGATGATGATGGTGGTGGTGGCGGCAGTAGTAATATTGTAGTAGGCTTTTGAAAAAGCTGCTGTTCCTGTGGTATCCATATCTTGATTCTTTCTGACACCTGATTTCTAATTTTAATAGCAATTAGAAATACAATTTGACCTTTCTTGTATGCTCTAGACTTTTCTTCTGCCTAACACACGACTGCTTTAGAAGCATATTTGGTTAGTGTAAATAACACTACTAATACTCACCCACTAAAAAAAGGCATTTTCCTTTTTTTAAGAGCTCTTAAAAAAAAGATTTACTTGCTTATTTTATGTGTATGAGTGCTCTATCTAAATGTATGCCTTTATGCCAGAAGATCCCACTATAGATGGTTGTGAGCTACCATGTGGTTGCTGGCAACTTGAACTCAGGACCTCTGGGAGGGCAGCCACTGCTTCTGACCCATCTCCACCCCTCCCCCCAAGACATTTTCTTGTGTGAGTTTGTGTAACATAAAACGGTTTGATGGATAAGCAGACACAGAATTGGATCATTAGCTCTAATTTGAATATAGCAAAAACTATCAAAACAATAAAAGTAAACCCAGAAGATTCTACCATCAAACATAAACCTTGCTTTCATGTCTTAACCCAGATATCTCATTTGTATTTTGTTTTCTTTTCATTCTGCTTATTCATAATCAGAAGTAATAGCATTTGAATTGCTAATGTTACTTTGTTAATAAAAAAATTGAGAGAGGCTCTTACTGTGTAGCCCACGCTAGCTCTGAATTCATGATTCTATTACCTTAGCCTCCCAAGTGTTGTAGGTGTATACTCCCAAGCTGGGCTTGCTAATCATATTATTTTAAAATGTTTAACTTTTACCTTTTTCTGAAATGAGAAACAATTTACATTTTACTGATTAAAACAAAGGTTTATGCTTAGAAATCCCAAAACACAAAAATGTGAAGAACTTGAAATGCACCTGAAATCTCATCTCAATAAAATAACCATAGGATTTGTGTGCACTTATTTGACACGTTTCTAGGAAGTTCTTTTTGTGTAGTGTTTAATATTTAGATTTTTGTGTTTGGGGTGGATTAATCTGGCAGTTTGCAAATACACACCATAGGCATTTTGTTTGGTTTTGTTTAATCTATATTTGCAGAACTTGATAGCTCTTTATTTTCTGTTTTGGGCCTTGTGTTTATTGCATATCTGCAGACGATGTTATTAGCGGATTCATGAGCTTCTGTTTCTTTCTAGGGTTCTCCATAAGGGACTTTTAAGGAGGCTGGTTTCCTTATACGAGCCATTGTTCCAGTTGCTTCAGGAGGTCTCCAGGATTCATCCCATGCCTTACTTCAAAGAGTATGCCTTTCCTTCTGATGTCACTGATTTTCTAGGGCCACCTTACGTGGAACTCTTTAAGGGAAAACCGCCTGAAGCTGTTGCCACTAAAGGAGTAACTAAGTTGCTAAATAAACTGTTTTCAATGAAAGAACAACTACCAAAGGTCAGTGAAGACACTCTAGATAGAATTTCTAAAACATCTGAACAAATGAAGAACAATGCACAGAGTAGTATGGACCTGGGACAGCCAGTGAAAATGAGCAAAAAGACCAGAAAAGGTGAGTTGCTTAGATGAGTACATACTCTTTCTTGTTTCTTTTAAAATTCTGTTTATTTTTATTCTTTATTTTTTAAACATATACTTTCGTGCATTATCTAGAAAGAAATTCAGAATTCCATTTCTTAAGTCACTGATTATATTTAGTTAGGGAGGTATGAATGTTGCCCATTTTCAAAGCTTTGCTTCTAGTTCCTTCCTGGGCTTTTGCTTTCTTCTCTTCGTTTCTTTGCAGTAACTTGTCAGGAAATGTCATGAGGTTAAGAATTTGTTGGTGGTTTGAAAATCTTATGGCTCAGTTTTTATTTTCCTTTTAATTCCACAGAAAAGCCATCAGGATTTGATGTGCGAGCTCTCTGCACAAGGCTTCGAAACAAGGCTACTCAGGTCAGTGTGGTTTAATCTAACGCAGCTTTTCATTTCTACCAACTCTAGAGAAAGCTACTTGCTAAGGAAAGAGCTGGACTTTCCTGTAACAAGTTTACACTATGGTTCTCATTATGAGCTTCTGAATGAACAAGACAGGATATTTTCAATGGTCCTGGTTACTCCAGTTAGTAGAGTGTGTTCAGAAGGGCTTTAATAGGCATTTCTCTGGAATTTAAGAGTAACCATATGGCCCATCTTAAGTGTGGATGGTGAGCAGTTTAAGCGCATGGACTTTGTAGTTGCTGGAACTTTGGCCCCACTTTGAATTAACTGTGTGATCTCTTAAGTTGTCTGACCTCGCTATACTTCCCTTGTCTCTATGCTTCTCTTAACTTTGGGCTAGCTTCAGTACAAGTAAAGTGTTACAGGGACTCTTGAGTGTGGGAAGCATTTAACTGATGGCAGATGTTGTTAGTAACAGCCATCATTTGTTTTCCTCTTCATTTGTCATGAGATACCAGCCATTCTTTTAGGGGTTCAAGCTTTAACTTGATAACTTTTATTAGTGTCAGAAAATTGTTCTGGACTTCATGACTGATAAGTACATCAGTGTTACCCTTCACCCAGTAACTGCTTGACTTCTTATACCCTTTATCTGGTTTTCTTTTTGGTTTTTGTCTTCCATTTTATTTAAGGGACCCCCTCCCCACCCCCAGACAGGGTTTCTTTGTGTAATCTTGCCTGTCCTGGGATTCACTCTGTAGACCAGGCTGGCCTCGACCTCACGGAGATCCATCTGCTTCTGCCTCCCAAGTTCTGGGATTAAAGGCATGCACCACTACCCGGCAATTTAAGAACTCTTAATCATTTCTAAGAACGTGTGTGTGTGTGTGTGTGTGTGTGTGTGTTTTAAAGATTTATTTATTTTTTGTACATGAGTGCTCTATCTGCATGTAAAACTTTATTCCAGAAGAGGGCACCAGAGCCCACTATGATGGTTATGAGCTACCATGTGCCATCTCTCCAGCCCCGACCCCACAGTTCTTTATTGAACTTGTTAACACAGATGGCAGCTTGCATTTTCATCTTAACCTAATTAATGAGTTCATTAGGAGGAAACATAATAGAAGATCCTTTGAGGACCTGACACTGCCTTAAATGCTTATGTGTATTAACTCCCATAATCCTCAGAAAAACCCCATTAGGTTGATTCTTGCATTACTGCTTTCATATTTCAAAGGAAGAAACTGAGGCATAGACAGTCTCAAAAAGTTATCCAGGCCACATGACAGGGATCAGGTTTGAATGCAGAACCCATGGTTCCTTAATACAGAATCTTTGAATTCTGGTCTCAGGAACTGTGGTGTCTGTGGGCCTTCCCACCTCTGCAGCCTAAGAGCCAGTTCACATGGGAGCTGGGCTTCATCTGGTTGGTTGGCATACTCCTCATTCAAGAGAAATTACTCTCATATTCTAATTGGCATTCATAGGTGCAGCTTGTTTTTAGAGCAAGTTATTGATCACAAAACAATACTAGAGTGTCTTTAATTCATAATTATTTCTTTAGGTACCTGTTGAGTGTGGGAATTTATTTACTTACTATTTATTTGGCTGAGTCTCACTATGAAGCCCTGGCTGGCCTGGAACTCAACAAATATAGGCCAGCAGACTGACCTCATAGAGACCTGTCTGCCTCTGCTTCCTGAGTGCGGGGATTAATGGCATGTCCCTCCACAAATTTGGAAAGAAAGTAAGCTTTAAATGGAATTTGGGTAGACTTAGTAGGTGGAATAATCTTCATAAAGTCAGAAAAGCTAGTAAAATCCGAACTTGACTTGCTGTAGAAGAGACTGGAGAAATAAAGATGCCTTGTTAAAAGCGGTGCAAGGTTAGGAAGACTGCACACTTAATCATTTTGTCCTGTTCATCAACTGGCTGACAGCCCTATGGTGTGGGGCACTTTCCAGGGCTTCCCATCTTTATTGTTTTTAGTGATGTTTATGACCCATCTTGAGGATTGTTCCTGTGGGGATAGGAATAAGTGGAGAGCAAGTGAGTCCAAGTCAGTCCTGCTGGCACAGGCCGGTTATCCCTGCTACTCAGGAGGCTGAGGCAGGAGGATGGCAAGTTCAGTCTTGCTTGTTGAAGGGTTACTTGTTGAAGTCCTGTCTCAGAATAAAAACCTTAAAAGGGCTGGGGATACAGACCACTTGCCAAATGTGAGCAAGGTCCTAAGTTTAGTCTTCAATAGAAGAAATAAAGTCAAATAAAACAACCTTCCAAACAAACTAGGTAGTTCAGAGATGTCATTGTTAAAGACTTGTGATTCCCCCCCCCATCATTATCCTTTGACTAGTATTTAATCAGCGTTTTATTTTGTATGTCACATATGTGTATGAGAGTATCTTGGATTTTCTCTCTTTTCTTTTTGATTTTTCAAGATGAGGTTTCTCTTGTGTAGCCCTGGCTGTCCAGGAATTTGCTCTGTAGACCAGATTCACCCACATCTGCCTCCCAGGTGCTGGGATTAAAGCCACCACTACCTGGCTTTATTTTGGGTTTTCTGTGTACATTTAATTAAAAGGCAGATAGGACCTGCCTTGGTAGAGAGGTAAAAAAGTAGTGTTAGGAGAATGAATTAAAAATTTTGGTTTGTTTTTTTTTTTGGTTTTTCATGACAGGGTTTATCCTGTATTGCTTTCGAAGTTGTCCTGGAACTCGCTCTGTAGACCAGACTGACGTTGAACTCACAGAGATCCACCACCTCTGCCTCCCAAGTGCTGGGATCAAAGGCGGGTGCCACCAATACCTGGCAAGACTAATTATTTGAAATTAAAAAAAAAAATGAATCAGCTTTCCAAGATTCTTGTTCTTTGTTTACAAGTCAATACCATTTTAAATGTATCCTTCTCACCTTTTTATATTTCAGGAGACCAGCCGGGAGTTTAAATGTTCTCAATCCAGATTGAAGACAAGCAAACTTTCCTCTCAGAAACTGACACGAACTCTCTGGGCTAGCAATATTGTGCAAAGAATCCGAGTGACCAAGACTTTCACCCAGCTTTCTGAGGAAATCCAAACGGCAGTCATGTGGTGCCGGAGCAAAAAGCTCAAGGCTCAGGCCACCTATCTGGGCAACAAACTTCTCAAGAGTAACAGGCTTAGGCATGTGGAAGCTCAAGGTTATAGGTAAGTATGTTAGAAAATTCCTCCCCCTTTCGGTAAGAAAATGTATGTATGTGCGTTACCGCCTTTGTTTAAGGTGGGATGTCTAGCAGCCCTCGGGGTGCTAAAATAAGACCTACTCAAAGTATAGTTGCATGTGTTGCTCATGGAATCTGGGAGGTTGTGTCATGAGGCAGAAAATGAATGACAAGTTCACTGGACTTAACTAATTTGTACCGCATCATTCCTGCTGGTTCATTTCAGAAGGCATTATTAAGGTTGCCTGGGGCCTTCAAAGCCTGGGGCCAACAGCGTGCAGCAAGCAGTTTTAGTCCTCAGGCACTCATTTTCTAGTGGGAGGTAGCATTCTCTAGACAGCATCAGCACAGCTGGGTGAGATTGTCAGAGAAGTGAGTGCTTCTGCCTGTGAGGCCCACACAGGTTGTAGGGATTAGGGTCAGGTTTGATGCTTATAGCAGCTGGATGCTCACGTATTGATATATTCAATTTATCGTGGTTCTTACAAGGATCGATGAGGACACAAATCATAATGATGAACAGTTAGCAAGAGGGGTAACAAACTCGGGTTTATTGCTTAAACTATTACTCTCTAATTCCCAAAATATAGTGACCATATTACCCTATTACTATGTTTTTTTTTCCTTTTCTTTCTTTTTTTTTTTTTTTCTTTCTGTAGTACATTTTGTAAAACACTTAATGCCCACAGTAGTCTGACGAGTAGGCATTGCCATTCCATTTTGTACATAAAGAGGTGGTATTGCTCAAGGTATTGGAACTGGAGATCTAGAACTCAATTCAGTTCCTCTGATTGTTTTTGTTTCAGCTCAGAGATGCACCCACTTTTTACACAATAAAAACTCACTGCTATAATGGGTCATGAATTGGTTATTACACAGGTTTTCCTTAAACGATTATGCATTTTTTTTTTTTTTTTAAAGAATGAAGGGATTTGGTAAGGCACATAGAGCCATGTTAATCTTTACCAACAGTGCAGTAGGTAGTTTACCAAGGCCAGAATAAGCCATAAGGTAGTGAAGCAAATGCCTAGACTCATCAGCTGAGTTCTACTGCAGACTTGAAGGGGGTACAGCACAACTCACACTCAGGGTATCTGACAGCTGTCAGTCTGTCTTCAGTGGAAGACCTCCCTCTTCACTTTTATTCCCTTGCTCTGTTCATCTATGCCATGAACTTAGCTAGAGATGCATTATGACATACTCTAGAGCTTCCCATTTGGGATATTTTGCAGTTTCCACTTGTTTACCCTAGGAACTGATTATCAGCATAAGGGAAAGGCCATGCCTTTCAAATGTGGAGGTGTCTCACCATTTGTGACCTTGTTAGGTAGTTATTGGGAATTGTGTTGAGGGTATAATGGAGGCATATTTGCCTGCATCCTGAAGAGGCAATCAGCTTGAAAAACATACTCTTAGGTTGGAACTCCCATTGCTTTATTTTGTATATTTGAGGTTATACATACATACATACAGGCCTAGGGCTTATAACAAATGGTGTACTTTTCTGTTGGAAGTTGGTGCAGACAGTTAAAAGTGCTTGATAACTTTTTAGCATCATAATAAGTTGAGATTTTTCTCTTCTGTCCTTTAGTTTGCCAAAGAAGCTACAGTGCATGAAAACATCTCTTTGCAACTGCCTTCTTCGAGGCTCCATTATCAGCACTTCAAAGTGTTCTCCTAGACAAAAAAGATCAAAGCATAAAGTTTTATCGAGACAGAGGAAACCGCAGAGAAAGTTACAGTCAACTCTTTTAAAGGAAACTCAGCAGGAACCTGAAGGGACTCTGAAGAGCACTAGGGACCCTAGTGCTAAGTGGAGCCGCTCAGGTGGGACAGTTCAGAGGACAGATGTCTGTCCTAACAGAAAGCAGGTCTTGAGAAGACTTTCAAAGTCTGTCCTGAAAACAAAGGAGCCGGGGTTCCATGGGAATCTCACAGCAGGCAGTAGAAATGAAACTGGTTTGTGGACAAACAGACAAACACACACACACAGTGTGCCACAAGCTGCTAAAGAGGCAGATGACATTGATGATATTTTTGCTTTGATGGGCGTTTAGATGTGCACATGTGAAACTTCTGGGCAGTTACCCAGATCGTTCAGGGTTCTGCTGTTTTAAGTGGAACTGCTGAGAGCTGGAAACACTGCTGGGGCCAGGAGCTGCTTCTCTGCAGCATTCCACACGCGTGCTTGCCAGTTCAATAAACACTTAACAGCTGCTCTGTGTCAGTTAATCACTTAGTATTTATTTGACTATGACTGCGTAGATTGTGAAATATGATAAAAAGTCTGTCACAGCCTACCCTGAATCCGTACCTTCTTGACTAAAGCAGGTAGGTTTCTGAAAATTAGATGAGTTTATGATTTACTAGGGAGTTAAGATCTTAAGTTCAGAAAAATCTTACATATCTGAGGGTAAACAGGGAGCAAGGTTGGAGTAGCAAGGAAGTACCATAAAGGGTTACTTGGCCTCACTGGCCCCATTCTCTTTTTAAAGTTTTGACAGTTTGTGTGTGTGTGTGTGAGTGTGTGTGCGTGCACATGTCTGTGGATATCAGAGGATAACTTGTGAGAGGTGGTTCTCTCCTTCCACCTGCAGGTCCCAGGGTGCAATTCAGATGTCAGGTTCTTTTGAATAACAATGTGTGTGTATGCCAGTGTATGTTATGTTACTGAAATGAATTATCAAAAAATTTGCTATTACTCGAATGGTTAAAACTTGTTTAATCTTCACTTTGTCACTGTATATTACAAGGCTTTTGGAGTTTCCTTTATTCTTGTTTCTGTGGAATGCAACAAAGAAGTAGGTGAGTGTATGAATAAGGCCCATCATAAATTTATAACCTGGTATCAGTATCATCACGTGACTTTGTATATACCAGCACAGCTGCTCCCAGAAATGATGGTCATGGAAAATCCACTTGGCCCTCAACTATTCCAGGGTTGAGTTTCTTAGGAGAAAACACAGGAGTCTTCCCCTTGCCCTCTGTAGTGACCAGTTGTCCTATGACAGCACAAGCTGCAAATCAGGGCACAGCTGGACACTGTTGCCTCAAAGGTGGAGGTGGTGGGCTGAGAATCTGGACTTCCAACTTGAGTATGACTGCTTTCTGCTCTGGAACATTTTGACTATAAACAGGCTCAAAAAAGTTACAAGTTTGGAGTCTTTCTGATTTGGGACTCTTGGACGTGGGACAGTCTACTATTAAAGTCTGCAAATGGTTAGATTCTGTAATCTGAAACACTTCAGTTCCTAGCATCTCAGATTAGGTGTTCCAGTCTTTTTAAGTGCAGGGTATGAGAACTCATGTCTTTTCTTGACACTCACTGCGGTGTCAACCAGTGTTTAGGTTTGGGCCTTGCCTTCTGCTCTGGGGACCTGTCCCTGCTTTTAGGCTTTTTATGTGCTAGGCCATAGCTTTACCACTGGACTACATTCTTGCAGTAGAGGTCCATTTCTTGAGGCTGAGGCTGTGCACAAAGTCCCTCAACACCACGCACCAGTGTGTGTGGTGGCCGGGCATGCTGGACAAGCTGTCCTGCTTCACTCCCCTTCTCTTCATCATCTCATGAAGTATAGCTTTGACTATACTACCACGGGAAGCTTGGACAAACAGCTCTGCTGCCGGCAGAGTGTAATTCTTTTGACACCTATGTTTTGCTTCGTGAGAATTTTTTTTAATTTTTTTTTTTTTTGCCTTCAAATACTGCTAATTAGGATAAAACAGACTATTTTAAAACAACTGAAAACATTTACTATTGAGTTTAAAAAGCCACAAAGTTTTACATCCTTGCCACAGTTATCACCTCTGACAGCAGTCTCGCTTTGAAACACTAAGACACTTCATGAAGAATAGATGTCTTTATAAAAAATTTGTTCTTGTGAGTTATAGTCAAAGCTAGTCATCCCGTTCTACACCTGTAATAGTGATTCTAAACTATTCCACTGACTTGTGAATTCATTTCCTCACCTAAAGCTAGGTCCTGTTTGTATCTGCTACTTCTTTCAGGTGGGATTTTTTTTGTGTGTGTGTGATAAAAACCTGTTGAGTTTTGCTGTGTCTTTTAGTTGGTTTGGGCTTGCAAATGTACAGCTGTCATCCATAAGACCTGTTAGACTTCACAGCTAAGGTGCTGATAGCCACCAACGAGGTGAGAAGATAGGTAATTTTTCCCGGGGACCAAGGAATAACAGACATGAGAAGTGGAACCTAAATCCCCTGATTATCTAGTCTGTGCTCACACAAAGGGCACTGAATGATTCCACACCCACATGACTGGTGTTTCCATGGCCTGGCAAATTTTGACAAAATTTTTCATATTCAAATAAAGACTAGAGGAAGAATGATAAGCATACATATAGTCATTTACTTTTCTACTCACCCATGCATGCTTTGCAGAAAGGCAGCCCTACATTATCAGTTGACATTTATAACATTAAAGACGGTAGGCATTTTCTTAAAGATTTATTTATTTATAATGTATACAGTGTTCTGCCTGCAGGCCAGAAGAGGTCACCAGATCATATTATAGATGGTTGTGAGCCACCCTGTGGTTGCTGGGAATTGAAGTCAGGACCTCTAGAAGAGCACCCAGTGCTTGTAACCTCTGAGCTACCTCTCCAGCCTGACACTTTATTAAGACAAAAAGTTAATACTATAACAAACCTCTCTACATAGTAATAACAGGAGCTCACTTCATGTATTTCTATATGCTCTTGGACTTGTCAGTTTGTTAAGACAGAAAAGCCAGCTACCATCTCTCCTAATGAACAATATGATTTAATTATAACCCTCACCCCCAACAAACTCAATTTTGATTCAGGATGATGCAGGTTTTAAAGCTGAACTGATTGTCCTGCAAGTTGAGACACAATATTTAAAACAATATTGGTATTCTTCTAGGTGTTTGACTCCAGTTTTGGAACTTCATGTACTCTGGGAGCGTTTACTTAAGACTTCCTGTTATATCTGCTATAAAGCACTTCAACAGATGGACTCCAGAATAGGTCACTGCACTGTGAAAAGAAAAGGAAACAAGTTTTTCTCTTACCTCAGAGGTTCTAACAAGGTTTTTTTTTTTTTTTTTTTTTTTTTTTTTAAAGAAACTTTTATAATCCCATGTAGGAGAGCAATTCCTTTTGGTCTGTCCTATCTTCCTTCCTTACTTCTGTCAGTTTCATGCAGTATTCTGCACTATCTAAAATAGATTCAAGAATCTGTTCTGATGATCCCCAAAATCTGATCCATTCCTTTCAGGATTTCAAACATTTACCACACCTTCCATTTTGCTTTCTGTTCTCCAGAGTAATTAGTTTAGTCTTTTTGTGATAAAAATTCAAACCCCTTGAAGTATTTTGAGGTTAACAAATGGTCATCACAGCACACTGACTTTTATGTGTCTGTCTCCATCCATGCAGAGGTGGACAACTGTGGTCTCTCAGGCCTGAACATACTCTGGTTTTATAAAAGGTGGAATCTTGTATGTTGTGCTGCCAGTTCTGTTAGTATGTATAACATTTTAGATTTTCTGGCTAAAACTACCATGCGGAAAACAGCCTTCTGATAGCTTTTACAAATGAACTAAGCATATATAATTTAAAGGAGAGATACAAGTTTGATAGTTCATACACTGATTAGCACTCTGCATTCATGTGCAATGTTTCTGTTAACTCACAATTCTGTTACCAGAGTCAGTTCTCATCTGCTTGGAATTTTACTACACAAAAACAGAAGCAATTAGACTGTGCCTACTCACCTATTTTTCCTATGTCATGTATAAAATATACTATTCGTAATATTAATCTATATGGACACTTCACATATGTACTTTTCTCTAGTGTTGGGCCAGAGTTCATGCATGAAAATTATCACTTAATTTTTGTCTATAGGTTCAAAGCCAAATCTTTCAGACCTTCCTCTTAAGATAGCAGTTCTCAACCTGTGGGTCTCGACCCCTTTGGCAAACCTCTATCTTCAAAAATATTGACATTATAATTTACAACAGTAGCAAAATTAGTTATGGAGTAGCAATGAAAATAATTTTATGGTTGGGGTCACCACAACATGAACTGTATTAAAGGGCCGCAGCATTAGGAAGACTGAGAACCACTGTCCTAAGAGAATATTGGAAGAACAGAAAATAAAACCTGACTTATTTATAGTACTCAGTTGTGAATAGGCCAAACTCCATGTGAAGGAATGCCTGCAGCTTTAACAAGCAAGTGAGCAAGTATATACACGTCTATGAGGTTTTGAGAGCTATGAGCATACTCTATGAATGATTGCTGTGTAAAAGTGAATGGTGAATTTCTTTCAGGACAATAAATAGGCTTCCATGTCTCAATTCATAGATTCTGAGTGCTGTGTGACTTTCTACAGAGCCTTGGTCACATGTGGTAAATATGTCTGGCATGCAGCAGAGAAAGCTGTCATGTTTAAAAAAGCAAATGCCTTTAAAAACCAGGAATCCAATAATGTGGTTTTAAGTCTATCCCTGCCATTTATGACTGGCCAGAAAGGAAATTATATATTTAAAGTGTATGTATCAATCACAATACATGATCCTTGTAGTGACATTTACCAGTGAGAAAATGGACTTAGAAAAAATACAAAGTTGCTTTACAACCAGCAGCCTCTGACAGAAACCCACAGATGTTATACAAAACCACGGCTATCTGACCCTAAGGCCCAGGCTCCTTCCACTTCAGCAGACACCTGGCTGGAACTCCATTTCTCACTTGTAACCTTCTGTGCAGAACAGGCACCTTTACTGTGAAGATCAATGCAGTGTGCTGTGTGCAGCACTCGTCACCCGCCCCCACTATCTGTTTTCATACAGCGTAGTTAATGTCAAGCCACAATCTGACAGGACTGGTTCTTGCCATATAGTATAAGTATACAGCAGTGTGGAGCTATTGCCTCATCAGTCCCTTTTTTGAAACTCCATGATTCCATTTATGTAGCTCCCCAAATTATTAATTTTCCCCAGTAACATCAGGCTGATAATTCAAGCTCAGCTTACAGTAACTAAAATTTACATTTTTCAACATAGGTATTTATTAGCCATGTGCGCTTTTAAAACCCATTTTATTCCTTACTAAACACTTAAATGACTGTTTTATATGACAACGCTGAGGGCTCTGGATGGAATTATTAGGATGTGCACTGCACTTGCAGGATAAAGGCAAAGGAAGAGGGTAGGTTTGAATGTAGGTGACTGGAGAGAGCACTGTGTAGGGATAAGGAGGGCTCCTGACAGGCGCAGTCATAATTTCAATTTCAATTTCAATCTGGTCTAGACTGATATGACTAAAGCGGCTAATGGACAGTTCCACCTACATCACTCTGCTACACTTTTTTTTTTTTTTTTTTTTTTTTTTTAAATTTTCTCACAAATTACCACGGTGCCTCCCACAAACAAGTCAGGGCAAGGAAACCAGAGACTGATGCTCTGCCTGCCTCATTACACACTGCTTACTGTACCCATGATACACAACAGAAGGAACCCCAGTGTTTCCACTTCTGGTCACTGTATCATAATGCCCCCAAATCTACCAGCTCAGAAAATACCTATTCTGTCTGTTCAGTTTAATCTAAATTTGAAACAGTTTTTCTTCTTTACATAGGCCTATTTTATATTACATTTTTAATTATTATTTTTTTTTATCTCAGCTGTACATTGTCTTCATGGAAGAAAAATTTTCCTGTCAATTTTCAGGCAAGCTGACCTGTTACACAGCCTGAACGAGCTCTTTACCACAGTGGTGTTCACTGAAATTACGCAGATGTGCTGGTGAGAAAGCTCGTCAGGCAAAAGGAAGTGCTTGTTCGAAAGCCTGATGACCTGAGTTTAAGTGGCAGATCCACAAGGTGGCAGGCAGGAAAGAGCCGGCTCCAAAAAGGTACCCTCTGACCTCCACAGGCACACCACTGCATGCATGACAGACACATAGTAAGTAAAAGCTGGTTTCAAAAGTAAAGTTTTCATTTCTGTCATGGTCTAGGGTTGAGCTAGGCTGAAATAGAAAGAGAATGAAGTACCTTTAAGGAAGAGCAGGCATGAAAAAAAGAGAACAGAATAAAACACTAACAGACTACTGAAAACTCACAGGTAAACAGTTTCCCAAGTGGCACCTCAACCAAGGAACATCAATTTCATAGTAAAAGTTTTTTTTTTTTTTTTGAAGGGGTGGGGTGTTGAGACAAGATTTCTCAGTGTTAAGTCCTGGCTGTCCTGGAACTCACTCTGTAGACCAGGGTGGCCTTGAACTCCCTGATAAAGGCTTCTAGTAATCAATGTTATTAGAGCAATTTGACTCTTACCTTATAGGAAACAGCTGAGGAAAACAGCCTTGTGTTTGTGTGTTAACAAACTTCTGGATCTGAAGCACTTGTTTTAAAAGATAGCCTTTGGAAGATTTGTCAATTTTTGTTAATACCATCTATAGGAAAAGAATTTAAGGATTAGAAATAAAATTTATCAATATAGTTTTATACATTTTAACTATAATTTTTCAGTTAGTTGAGTTGGTTCATGTAAATTTCTTAATCTCTATCTACTTTCTCATCTATAAAATAAAACAAGCTATAAATAATTTGCTGATGATGAAATAAGGTGAAATATGTCATATATAAAGTGTGCATTGTGTGTTTGCTACTTAACAATGCTTTTAGCACACACGACGATAATACCTTGGGTTTTACTTAAAGATCAGTGGAAACCAGAGCCACATTTATAACTGACACCAGCTGTTTTATGTGATTACAATGTATTTTACAGTCTAAGATATTAAAATGAATGTAACTTGACTGAGCCACATAGAGCTGTCAATATGTAACAATTTTGAAAAGTTCAAAAAGTTCAATTTTACATGTAATACTCTAAAGGAAAAATTAGAAATTGGGTTCTTTGTTGGCTATATCTACTATAGTTGTATCCTAGGTAAATCTAGAATGTTACTTACCCAACTACAAAATAGTAGAGAAAGGTCAAAGCATGGGTGATTACAAATCAAGGAAAAAGTAACATTTCAATCCATCAGGTTTTCCCAGGGAATATCAAACACTCAAGCATATACTTTGACTTAAAGCTGCTGCTGGTGGGGCTCATCCATGCCAGGCAAGTGGTGTATCACTGAACTATAATTCCCCTAGGCTAAAATTTAAAGTCATCTTTCTGTTTGTTCTTTTTCCCCCTTCTTGGGTACCTGGATTACTGCTAATATCTTAATTCCTTTTCCAAAGAAGAAAATAATATTCCCTTTAGCTACAACTGAAGGGAATATATGATTTCACAAAGTGGTACCTATGATACAAAATCAGGACTATTACTTTACAGCCAGTTTGATAATATTTAGTCATTTTTATACTAATTCCTTGATGCATTGTAACACCCCCTAATACTTCATAGGACTTCTGCAAATCCCAAGAACGTCATAATTTCAAGAATATAACAAAAGTGGTTACCAAGTTGCATGGCTTTATTCACATGAAACTTCACTCTTCATTTTAGTGGTTTCTGTCACTTTTGAAAAGTAAATTATAGTCATTGGTTCTTCAATTTCTTAAAAAGGAACTTTAAAAGTCTATCTGGAAGTATTACAAAGCAAAATGTGGATACTAACCCACCAATCTGCATTTTAGTGTAGGTCAATTGTATGCTAGTAGAAAAAAAAAACAAAACAAAAAAACCCCGAGATATTCCTAAATTTTAATTTTATTTTTTATTTCATATGCACTAGTGTTTTTCCTGTATATATGTCTGTGTGAGGGTGTCAGATCCCCTGGAACTGGAGTTACGGATAGTCGTGAGCTGTAGAGTGGATATTAGGAAATGAACCAAGGTCCCTTGGAAGAAAAGTGGTGCTCCCAATGGCTGAGCCATCTCTCCAGCCTAGAAAATAAATTTTTTAAAGACTATAAAATTTCTATTTGTGTGTGCTGTGTTGGAATCATCTTAAGTTTCTGTTGCAGTTTTAGTTATATCTTTGTAAGTACTATACCATGAGCTGCTATTCAAGAGCTAGTAACATGTCTTAGAAAAATGTTTGTATTGCAATAAAAAAAACATCTTGTGAAGGAAAAGCATTTCAGAACACTAAATGAACAGTTTAAAAAACTCTGACTATAAATTTAAAAGCGTGTATAGCTCCAATATGTTAAGAGCACATGCTGTTCTTTCAGAGGGCCCGAGTTCGGTTTCCAGCACTCCTCAATGGATGGCTTGCAACCTCCTGTAACTCCAGCTTCAGAGAATCTGTTGCCCTCTGCTGGCCTTCATGGGTATCCACATACAGCCTGTGCATGTGTACACACATGTTCTTGCTGTCTCTCTCCCTCCATCTCCATGAATTTAAAAACTGAAAGAAGTAAAAAATAAATTGTCACAGAACTTAAAGGCACTTTGTGTGTGTGTGTGTGTGTGTGTGTGTGTGTGTGTGTATGTGATGTATACATGTGTTATGTGTGTAAGAGTCTGTATGTGTACACAGGCAGAAGCCAGAGGAGGACATGTGTCTATTCCATCACTCCTGCCTTTTTCCTTTGAGCCAGGGCCTCTCACTGAATCTGGAGCTGAGCTGATAGCTAGCAATAATGTGATCCTCTGGTCTCCAACCTCTATAGCATGAAGGTTATGGACGTGCATGTGACCACATAGCTCATGTGGGTGCTAAGGACTAGAACTTAGGTCCTCATGCTTGTGTAGCAAGCGTTCCTACCCATGGACCCATCTCCCCAGTCGCTCCTCTATCTTCTGAGGAAATGACTGCTCACTACCAACAGGCATATATATGTGCATATTCATATGTTTCCCAAACTGTGATTTCTAGCTGCTACCATAACTTACCACATACGGCAATGCAAACTCTTCACACATTTCTACGGCAATGTTGTCTAATTTGGTAATTCCAACAACACTATCCACTAGCAAAAATGTTCTCTTCAGGCTGTAAGAATAGAAAAAAAAGTAATGGTAATATAAGATATATTCATAAGTCCGTCTCTCTCATCCTAGGAACTTCATTCTGTAGTCTTATAGGACTCAGTGCAGTTTCTTGTACTTTCAATAATTAAATTTGCTTAATACCAATTTATTTCAATAAGAACATATTAAGCCTACTGAGTCTTAACAGAAAGGTAAATGAGATCCCTCCTGTAAGGCCTTAAAGTCTAGTGGAAAAGAGACAAAAATTAAATTTATTGTAATTTTAATATTACTTTAATTTTGCATCTTTTATATGTAAAGCTACAAGAAACAAATATATATATGCACACACACACACACAATTTGTGATGCTGAAATCAAATCCAGAGCTTTTTTTAAATGAATACTTTCTTTTTTGCTTTCTTTTTGTTTTGTTTTGTTTTGTTTTTTTTTCAAGACAGGCTTTCACTGTGTAGCCCTGGCTATCCTGGAACTCTCTTTGTATACCAGGCTAGCCTCAAACTCAGAGATCCACGTGCCTCTGCTGGTATTTAAGGCATGCAGCACCACTGTCCCCTATTAATAATAATAATAATATATATATATGTATATATTATATTTCAGAAGCCTAACATTATTTTCCTCTAGATTGTGTGGTTCTTGAAACACACTATTTTGCTTGATTCCTTAATGGATATTAAAAAATAAAGATAACATTTTCAGAGTTTGCAATGACTGATCTACTTTAAGACAGAATATACTGAATTTTATTTAAACCAATTAGCTAACTATTTTCATTTTCAAAAATAGCTAGCTCAGAGTATAGTTTAAAAAAAATGAATGAACTGTTGAACACTCTATATTGTTTCACCTTGAAAAAAATAAATGAAGTTTTGATTTTCCTGAGCTATAGGCAGATGCTAAACAGGCAATGTATACCCTGGTCCTCAATATTGTACTGCAGAGTAATATAAGGATAAAATGCACCTACAAATAAGTCATTTGACAAATCTGAAGTAGTTGTCATGTGTAGAATACCCTTGATTTAAAAAAGTGCTTTGGTAGTAAATGTGCAACTATTGTATGAAAAAAAAGTTTCCTTACTTCTTTCGTTCTTTTAGATAGGTCTCTACCATGTCAACAAAGTCTTCCGGGGCTCTATAGCCATACCCTGGCATGTCCACCAATGTAAAATATTTTCCAACTTTGAAAAAATTCATTTTCTTTGTGTGCCCCTGATAAAGTAAATGGGGGGAAAAAAGCTGGCTTAAAATAGGTCCTTCATTTCATGACTAGGAATGCTATCTATTCAATCAACAAATTATTTATTAAAAGTTGCGGTACATAAAGATTAGTGGCCACCAGTAGTTAAATCATAATTAAATCTCTTCAATTTGTTTTTTAATAAAATGTTTAGCTTAAACACTTTACATTTCATATTAAAAAGACGTAGACAAAATATTTCAGAATCTTTCCCATTTTGCTGTCTATGAACATCACCCAGATTTAAGTTGTATGTCTGCCATTAGCCAGTTCTCTGATGAACATTATACACAGAGGAATGAATTAGGGTGCTGATCAAATGTTTATCCCACCACACAGGTTTTTATAACACCTGTATCCAAAGTGTGACATTTCTTATCTGCAAACCAGTGTTTCCCTAAACCAAGATGTTTTATATGTGTGGTTTAGTGACCTCACAGACTTTTTTAAAAAGACTGTGCAACACCTTTAAATAAAGTGTGATTAAAACTGATGCAAAGATAAAATATAGCTACTTATGCTTCTGTGCTTATGAAATGCTTCGGAATCAGAAAAGGAAAGACAATTTAAAGCCAATTGTTTATATCTTAGAAAAGACACCATCAAAGGAGAGGTTTTTTTTTTTTTTTTTTAAATAAATGATGATTAAGTTCCTGGTTATCTTATTTTCCATCTGTTAGGAAGTGTTTTTAGAATTGTATATTCGAGAGTGAAAAGAATCAACCTTATCTATTGTCTGTCCTCTTATACGAGAATGAAATTTACCCTATCTAAAAGTCCTATTTTAGTTGGCTTACTTTATTTGGTGAGGAAGAAGAGGAGTGAAGATGAAGTGTTATGGAATGGAATCATTAGAGATGAAGCCAGAGAATCTATTACATGAAGTGGGGAGCAAAAGTCTAGTGGTTTCATGAGAGGGCTTAAACTTAATGAAAGAGGTAGGGAACAGTGAGCATTACAGCTGGTGGAATTGGTCTGTGATACAGACACTAAGGTAAAAGGAACCAGGGGTGAGTCTTGAGAAAAGGCTATTTTAGGTATCAGTTGAGTCTGCAGCATTGAAAAGGAAGTAGAAGGAAGGGGGAAATGACAAGAGTGCCAGCAGAGCAGAGTATCTGTGAAAACAAGCACAGAGCGAGCGGCCGTGGGGAAAGGAAGAAGCATGACTGTTGTATATCCAAGAATGTATGAGAGTGTGTAGGTAGAGAAGGTAGAGAAGGTATGAAAGATTATGGAAGATAAAGCAAATTTTAAACCCGTTTTTCCTACAACTAATGTGCAACTAGATGCTATTATATAAGGAGACAGAAAACAGTGACAAAATGCTTAACTTGCCAATTGGAGAAGACTCTATCTTAAAGGATGCTTTCTTCAAGATATTGGCAAGACCGCTAAAGTCAATTCAGCCACACTTCCCGTTTTTCAGGAAATACACGAGCACTAATGATATGTCTTACCTTATTATTTGTTTAAAAGAAATCTCTTCTCTAGGAACTTAGCAATTACGATCTCTTGCACCTTCCAAAACTTAGGTCTCATTTTAGTAAATTCAAGAGATACCCAGCGTACCGGTTTTTTTGAGATTCTGACTTCTACATCAGGGGCCATTGAAAACAAGGCCTTTATCAAGGAGGATTTTCCAACATTGCTTCGGCCTATGAAACACACCTAGTATGAGGGGCAAAAAGGAGAATGCAGAGCTTAGAGAACTGAACCCGTGGTTTATTTACTAAATGTTCTATTTGAGGGGCTGGAGAGATGGCTCAGTGGTTAAGTGCACTTGCTGCCCGAGGACACTGGTTCAATTCCCAGTCCACAAGGCTGCTCACAAATGCCAGAAACTCCAGTCCTAGGAGGATCGGATGTCCTCTTCTGGCTTCTGAAGGCAACAGGCAAGCATGTGGCGTACAAACACGCATGCAGGCAAAAACACATAATAAAATACGGCATTGGCTACTGTTCCCAAAGGACCGGGGTTCGAGTCCCAGCACCCACACTGCGGCTCACCGCGGTTCTCCACGTGCATTGCACAAGAGGCGGTGCAGCCACACCGAGTTTTCTGTTTGTTTGATTTCCTAAGTCTCTCACCTCCGGCTGCTGCAGGCCCGGGGCGTGGTCTAGGCGGACCGCGGAGCTGAGGTACTCGATGCGGTTCCGGGCTGTGGCCTCGAAGATGCTCTCGGCCCTCGCGATGTCCTCCAGGCTCGGGTCGAAGAGTCCCTGCTCGATGAGGCCTGACCCGCTGTCCGTGACGAGGTGCTGCGCCAGTTCCCGCAGCGGGTACAATACTTTCGTTAGCTGTTTCTGAGGTAGCCTTAGCACTTCAGCAAAAGCAGGGGACGTGCTGTAAACCCGGGGACAACGCCTCAGTGCCGGCGCCATCTCAAAGAGCCTCCCCATCCTACGCCA